GTGATGTGCATTACCGAGAGGGCCCAGAGATACCTCTCCGACAATCGGAGTGACAAATCCTAATCTCGAAATACGCCAACCCAACATCTACCTTTGGAGACACCTGTAGAGCTCCTTTATAATCACACAGTTACGTTGTGACGTTTGGTAGCACACAAAGTTTTCCTCCGGTAAACGGGAGTTGCATAATCTCATAGTCATAGGAACATGTATAAGTCATGAAGAAAGCAATAGCAACATACTAAACGATCGGGTGCTAAGCTAATGGAATGGGTCATGTCAATCATATCATTCAACTAATGATGTGACCTCGTTAATCAAATAACAACACTTTGTTCATGGTTAGGAAACATAACCATCTTTGATTAACGATCTAGTCAAGTAGAGGCATACTAGTGACACTAAGTTTGTCTATGTATTCACACATGTATTATGTTTCCGGTTAATACAATTCTAGCATGAATAATAAACATTTATCATGATATAAGGAAATAAATAATAACTTTATTATTGCCTCTAGGGCATATTTCCTTCATGTCCGACGGCTTACCTTCGGATTCTTCGCCAGTTTCATTGTCTGCGTCGCTTCTGGCTTGTGCAGGGTTCACATTTGCTCGACCGCCCTCATGGTATGGTCAAAGTGTGAATTGGTATTGTAAGTGCATCTAGTGCCACCCCTAGTTGGTTTTGGAGTATTGACGACAAACCTAGTTGAGGGACTAATGTGTTTGTGAGAATTGCAGGATAACACAGGTGAAAGTCCCTTATTGATTCGGTTTTTCTACCAGAGATGACCCCTAAAAATGTATGAAGACATTGATGTCAAAGGTGGTATATGAAGATATTCTCATTGAAGACTATGACAAGAGAAGACATCGCATGAAGCCTATGGAGCTCGAAGACTCAGATGTTTCGTAGTTCTTTTTCTTCTTTATTGAGTCATAGGAACCACCGTACTGTTAAGTGGGGTCCAAGAGAACCGGTCAGAATAACTGAAGTGATGCTTAACCAAAACCTATGTCTTCGAGTGAAGACTATGAGAGCGAATCTTGTCCAGAGTCGGACAAGTCAGCTTTGCTTGTAACCCAAGTAAAATTGCCGTGTGTGTTTGAAATCTGACCGTTGGAACATGTGTCAGTTCCTTAGTGACCCAGGGTCATTTCGGACAAATCAGGTCGGGTTACCTAGTGGCTATAAATAGCCCACCCCCTACAACCATAAATGGTTGGCTGCTCAGAGTTAAAGTACGGCTTTTGTCATTTGAGAGCAACCCACCTCGAAGCCTTTAAGAGAGAATTCCTTGCGGGGATAAAGCCCTAACCACCCAGAGCCAAAGAGTGTTAGGCATCACTTAAGTCTTCTTGTCTGTGTGATCTGAAGACTTATTACACTTGAGGACTATGAATCCTCCAGTCGGTTAGGCGTCACGTTCTGAGCATCCAAGAGACATTGTGGATCGCCGGTGAACGAAGTCTGTGAAGGTTTAAGAGTCTACCTTGAAGACTTACCAGAGTGATTGGGCGAGGTCTGTGTGACCTTAGCTCAAGGGGAATACGGTGAGGACTGGGTGTCCTGAGCTGCGTGTTCAGGACTGGGTGTCCGGGACTGTGTGTCCTCAGGTTTAAATACCTAGCCGCCCTTACCAGACGTACAGTTGTCACAGCAACTGGAACTGGTCCAACAAATCATTGTCTTCAACGAGTCACTGGTTTCATCCTTCCCTTCCCTTTACTAACTGTTGGTCCTTGTGAAGTCATTGCATGATTGCACTATCTTCTGTCTTCACTGAGTGACTGCTTGTTCTGATCGGCTTCATAATATCTTCCTACCTGATCCTTACTATCTAGCTGCTATTAGTCATTGTGCTTTCACTTCATTGAATACTTGACTATGGTTTGCCTAGTGTACTCTACCTTCCGCTGCATGGTAATAGGTTTATTTTTATCGTTTGTCTTCGAAACTTTCACGTTTTGAAGACTTTCATAAAAATCGCCTATTCATCCCCCTCTCTAGTCGATATAACGCACTTTCAGGTATAATAATAACCCTTATAGTAGAAGAAAAATATACTTAATTAGTTTCACGGCGGAGCAAAGCGCACGTTACGCTCTGGTGCGACCGGCGTGATAGCCCCGAACCAAGGAACGACGTCAAGCCGGAACTCCGAAAACTAGTGGGTGGCGCCGTGCGTAGGCCTCACTTTTGTCGAGCGAACCCACCGGTCCAACCCCCGGTTTTTGGGAATCTGGGTGTGGTCTGTGCCTACTCGCTCCACGCTGGCTGAATCCATTCCCCACGCGCGCGTATATAAACACCTCGCCCCTGCTGCTCGTCGGTGGCACACTGCGTCGACTCAACCTACAGAGTTCAGCACAACCTCAGCTCGCGAGAAATCGACCCATCTATCGGAAGCACAAGACAGAGATGAGCTCGTCGGCGACCAAGAAGGGGGCGTCGCTGGTGGTGGCGACGAGCATGGCGGCCGTGGAGGTGCTCAAGGACCAGGCGGGGCTCTATCGCTAGGACTACGCGCTCCGCTCGCTCTACCACCGCGCCGTGCTCACCGGCCGCCGCGCCGTCCCGGCGTCCCTCTCCTCCTCCTCCTCCAAGGCCGTCGGCAGGGCTGCGCGGCCCAGGCGGTCCGAGCAGGAGAAGCTGCACAAGGCGTACCACGTCGTGTGCTGGGGACCCAACTGATTTCTAGTACTAGAGGACCCATTTTTGTTCTCCTGAACCCGGTTCAGATTCTCCATTTTTGTTCATTCCCTCTTGATTATCCGTGAATGATGTGTAAATCGAGAGTATATGCTTGCAAGGTCAGTCATGCAGTCGTTCCTCTGATCTGAGGCGAGCTGCCAAGTGATTGATGAGGCAAATATAGGAAAACGGCATTGGTCTGTACAAGGAAAGGAACCACGTATCTCTTTGCTCTTGGATCTTACCAATACCCGATGTGTTTCTGATGATGATCAGATCTCACCAAATTTTAACGGTCATCCTAACCGGTTGAATGGCAGGGCACACTGGATTTACAGTGCAGCACATGTAGAGAGGAACAAATATTCAGAACTTTTGCATCCAAACAACAGACAAGTCAGCATCTGACAATAGATATATAGAATTTGGCCGGTACAGTTTACAGGATTCATGCTGGTTGAGCTCCCATATTACATGATTTGGTGTTTTCTCTTGACTTCAGGACAAGAACCCCTTAATGATCATGCCTAAAAGGGACTAAACTCTTGAATCAGCAATAAAGACGGTTGGACAATAAACAAGGGAAAAGTGGGAAAAGATAACATTGTAACTGTTGCAGCTGATTACAGTAATGCTGTACTAAATGAAGATTGAGGAAAACAAAAAGTTACTTGAGCACAGCAAGTCTCAGCCTACTACATTATATTCATAAGGCTTTCTTGCCCAGCTGTTGAACTGAATTATGATCAGTTTGTTCAAACCGAACACCAACAAGGTCGATTCAGAAACTGGATCATAGGATCTTTTGAGGGTCTTAAGGAGTTTAAGGTGCAGAATTTAAGGCCCAGAAAATATAGTATATACTCGATGATAATTCGTCCTTCATCGATTATAGTACTTGGCATCCTGCCTATCCTGCACACACTAGGGAAAAAAACTGACACATACATAGGTAAGCAAACATGACACTGTTTGATGCTGTCAGCAACCCCCTGAGAGTTATGCCACTGACAGGCTTAACTGAATTTACAATACACCACATGCTACAAAGAACTTGTATTGTAGTCATATGTTTGAGGATTACACCAGCGGAAGGTAAGCTGATTTAACAGTAGAGCACATGTAGAAAGTGACTTCATCCAGCTGCAGACAAGTGACATAGAAGTCAACATCTGATTAAACATATCAGCAGTACATAATTCAGCCAAGATCTGTCAAACTGGGTACAATTCCCAGGATTCATGCCTGGGTATTCTCTTGGCGCCAGGAAAGGAACTTTTAATCACCAATGAAGATGGCAATAGTGACAATAATAAATAAGGAAAACTGAAAAATAAAATTGCAACACTCGTTGCCATACCAACTGATTGAGGTACAAGTCAAAGCTAGGGCATAACAAGTCCCAGTCATGATATTTTCTATAAGAGTCTTAAGGAGTTAAGCTGCAAAATACTCCCTCCGTCCGGAAAAACTAGTCCCAAACTTGTCCCTCAAATGGATGTATCTAGCACTAACTTGGTGTTAGATACATCCATTTGAGGGACAAGCTTTTCCGGATGGAGGGAGTATAAGGCCCAGACGACGTACTCCAGAACACAGCATCCTGCCTACCTTGCAGATTAGCTTGTTCTTTGTCTTGCCTAATACTAGTAGTTGCTAGTTTCTGATATTTCGCATTATCTGGTCATAACTCCACAACAAACAAATCATTAAACCTTGACAAAAGCCTCGTGCAACGGCTGGATTGCACTATCATCAGGTTCACTGAGTACTATCTGAACATTCGGTGAGGCCTTTCTTAGAGGCGATAGTTTTCTTTCAAGAATATGTGAATTATTCATATGATCCTTCTGAAGCCATTCTGGGTGATCAGTCTTGGGAGTAAACAGTATCAGTTGGTTGAGACTAGTAGACATCTTCAAGAAAAGGCTTACTAGCTGCATCTCATGGTGGCGCCCCTTGAAATTCATCATGTTGACCAACAGAAGGTTCTCAAAGCCATCACCATCCTCTATTGCCTCTTCCTCTGATTGCCCTCCATCAGATATCTCTTCCCTCGACCCATGTTTCTGTGATTGATTTTCTTCAGGTGACTCTCCCTCTGACAACTCTTCCTCGTGTTCAATTCCCTCTGACAGCGCTTCCTCTAGGTCATCTCCCTCTAACAGCTCTTCCTCTGGGTCATCTCCCTCTGACAGCTCTTCCTCTAGCTCATCTTCCTCCGTTGTTTCTTGCTCTGATAGCTCTTCCACTGACCCATTTTCCTCAGATTCTGATCCTGATGGTTCATCCTCTGGCCTATACTAACAACTACTTGTCGGAAGCTGCAAGAGGGTGTAGTAAGCATTCAAAATAAGTGAGCACATCAAAACCAAGCAACAATACAATGACTACTAACTGAATGCATTTGTCAAGGCCATAAGGCAATCTCTTTGACAGCTTGTATACGAAGTCGAAGCTGCACAAATAACCTCTCCAATCGAGGCCCACAGCAGGCCAACAAAAGTCAAAGGCAATTTATTCACCTGCACAAATAACCTCTCCAATCGAGGGCCACAGCAGGCCACAAGGAAAGTGTAAATGTCGTTTATGTTATCGATCTCCATTGCGAACATCAGTAGCTGAAGCTCTCTCAAATTCAGCAACTTGCATGGTGCAGCGCCTGTGGCAGCTAACCTGGCACGAGCTTTGGCAGACAATCTCTGCAAGAAGAAGTTTATCAGTAAGACAGTAACTGAGTATTGGGATCAACCGGATAGCATGAAATGCAGAGAGCGACGAACCCGTAGGGCACTGCTGCAGAGGGTAAGCACGGTGAGGTTAGACAAATTGGTTAGCAGTTGAAGCCAGTTTGTGCGCAGCTCGCAATAAGGTCCTGACAATTGCCTCCAGCGGTTAGGTCCTCCGAAGCAGATGTAAAGGTCAGCAAGATTGGCGGTGGCCGGGATGCTGCAGGCCGGAATGTAGGCGCCGCTGTAGTGGAATGAGCGCAGGCTGGACGCATCGCCGGCAAAAAATACTTCGGCTTCCGAACCACACTCTGCAAGGGTTAGGCTCCTCAAGTGTGCCCCGGCCGCCGTGACGATGACGGAGAGGAGGCTTTCGCAGTAGCGCAGATCGAGGGTGTGGAGGAGGGGGCACGCAGCGACCAGGCGGTTGACCGTGCGGTCGGAGATGCGGACGCAGTGGAGGTGGATGACCTCGAGGGCGGAGAAGGGGTGGGAGTGGGCGGAGAAGGACACGGGGAGGTCGACGGTCACGGCGCGGAGCGAGAGGCGCGCGAGGTGGGCGTCCCCCAGCGGGAGCCGGTAGTCGAAGAAGATGTTGAAGACGCGGTTTGAGAGGTGGACGTGCAGGTCCTCGATGGCGCAGGCGGCCGCGTAGTCGAGGCAGCGGCGGAAGTGCTCGGCCTTGAGCTTGCCGATGTGGAAGGAGAGGGCGAACCGCTGGAGGCGCCGCCGCCCGCGCCGCTCCAGGGTTTCGAGGAACGGATGGGGGGAGTCGTGGGTGCCGAGGTGGAAGTCGAGGGAGGAGGGCGCCGGCCAGCGGTGCGTCCAGAGGGAGCGCCACCGGGTGGAGAGCGCGCCGGTGCGGATGGCGGATTTGAGCGGGAGCAGGCAGAGGATGTGCAGCTGCAGCGCCTCCGGCAGCTCCGAGATGCGGTCCTCTGCCGCCTCCGCGCCTGCTTCTACTTCCTCCTCCTTCCGCCGCCGCTTCGTGCCACCGTCCAGATCCAGATGGGACACCGCCGCCGCCATTCCTCCCGTTTACCGCCGACGGCTCACCACTCCGTCGGACCTCCGGTTAAGAGCATCTCCAACAGACGCCCCAAACGACGCGCGCGGGGTAAATCCAGCTTTTAGCGCGCGCGGGGCGGTTTGCCGCGCTCCAGCGGCCGCGGGAAACAAGCGCGCGCCGAAACGCGCGCGCGCGCACAAGATTTGGCGCGCCGCTTCGCGCGCCTATAAAGTTGCGCGCCGCTTCGCCGCTTCGCCACGCGCTTCTCCACACTTCCTCTTCCCCTCTTCCTCTCCCTCTCTGCCACGCGCCGCTCCAGCGCCCCGCCACCGACGCGCCGCCATGCCACCGCGCCGCCGAGGAGCGTCCGGCTACCGCGGCGTCCGCCTGCGCCCCAACGGCTGCTACACCGCGGAGATACGCTCTGGCGAACTCCGGTTCGGTCTCGGCACGTAAGGGACGGCGCGCGAGGCCGCCCGCGCGTACGACGCGGCGGCGTGGCGCCTAGGCCGGCCGCGCGGCCAGATGAACTTTCAAGATGTGTACACGCTCCAGCAAGCGCTCAACCTCGCCCCTCTGCCTCGTCTGAACACGGCGGAAGACCGTGCGGAGCACGCCGAGCGGCAACGCCGCCTCCTCGTCGCCCAGGAGGACGAGCGGGTCATGGCGGAGTGGCGCCAGCGCCACCCGGAGGACGTCGCCTACGAGCAGGCCTACTGGGCAAGGCGCCGCGAGGAGGACACGCGAAGGCACCGCGAGACGCGGTTGGAAAGGCGTCAGCGGAAGGCGTTGGCGAATGCGCAGTCCGACATCGTTGCAGCAGGTGGGCAGTCGTTCTTCACGCCGAACAATGATCGGTGGCTGGACATCTGGCTAGACACCTTGAACGACACCGCCGAGGATGATAATGGTGATGATGATAGCGACTTAGAGTAGTTTCTATCTAGTTGCGACATAGTTTATCTATGCTTTCGAACTATCTATATAGTTGCACCGATGTAAAATACCTTTGTATCGTTTTTTATTTATGCAATCTATCTAGTTTTTATTTTATCTATGCGTTCGAAAATTAAAAAAAATGTTGTGTGCGCGCTGCATTTTTTGCGCGCTGCTGGAGCGGCGCGCGCGCGCTGCATTTTAGCGCGGCTGCTGGAGCGGGCGCAGCGCGCCGCGCCAAACCAGGTGATGGGCGCGCGCTAAAGCTGTTTTTTACGCGCGCCGCGTTGGGCGCCTGTTGGAGATGCTCTAACGCTCTCTTTGTTTTGGGCCGAAAACTTCCGGCACAAAACACTTCCGCGGTAGGAATTGGGCATATCGGTTTCGCGAGTGGTGGTTTTGGGGAGAATATATATTTTTCAACAGAACTAAAAAATATATTTTTCAACAAAAATGAAGTTTGTACCCCTCAAAAAGAAATGAAGTTTGGCAGCACAGTTTTTTTTTAAATATTGTTGTGCAAGAATTAGCTTTTCTTTTGACTTTGGGAAAAGAATCCTTCAATGCCAAAGAGGGAGTAAACTCCTAAATCACCAATGAAGATGATAAATACATTAATAAAGCGGGGCATAAACATTTTTCGGTAATACATTAAGGAATATTGAGAAAACATAGCATTGCAATTATTGTTGCTATTTCAGACTTCCTTCGATGCCAATAAAGTTTAGTCCACCTCGATGAATGGAATCCACAGCTTAGGGGTGTGTCAAGTGAAGTAGGGATGGATGGGTTTGTGTAAGTTGAGGATGCTAGAAAACAGCAAATAGTATTATCTCCATACCCCTAGAAACAACAATTGATGAACATGGGTAATGGGGTGTGTGTAGAGATCAGTGACACTCCCTCGTGGTGCTTGCCTGCCGGATTATTAGGCATGTCTATTTTTTTCCCTAGCTATAAGCCCTATCACTTTGACATCTCCCCTCTTGTTGATCTCTATGAACACACCATCCTTCATGTCCATCAATATTGTTTTTAGGTCTATCATCGATATAAGGAACATGAAAAAAAAACATACTGGTGTTTCCTAGCATCCTCAGGTTACACAACCATCCATGCCTACTCGATAAAACACCCCCCTAAGCAATGGTTTCCATTCATCTAAGATGAACCGCACCATCACAAAGCTAAAGGAAGTTTGGGCCTTTTGGCAACTGCTTTGGCGTCGACAATAAGGAAGCGCTAGCAACATCAACTATTGCTAGCAAATCCTAAACCCCAGACTAGCCATTTCCTCATCCACGACCTATCTTTGATAGCAGGTCGCGATCTGCATTCACAAAAATAATTAAAAGGAGATCCTGACCAAGGGGTTGAGAGGGATCAACGGGAAATGTACATAAGTGTAGAGATTATTCGAGCCAAGAAAGATAAATAGTGCATATCTAGTTGCATTTATTTTTTCTTTTTTTTGAGAAACCAATAGGAGATATGTCTATTCATTTAGAATAAGAGAGTTGTCTAGCTTATTACGAAAAATCGGGCGAAAACGACTTTGAGATTTTTTTTTGCAACTTCAAAATATTGTTTTCACATGGTTTTCACTGGTTCCCACCGAATCTTGATCTCAATAAGATATTCTCGCATGTGTGTGTGTGTGTGCGTATGCGTGTGCGTGTGTG